GCCACACATCCGCACTTGGCTCACCTGCGTATGGGGAGGTGGGTGAGGAAAGGGTGGGCATGTGGATAGGAAAGATAAGGTGAATTCGGGGGAGAGATAGGATGGACAGGGAGAGAGACAGGGTCGTTGGGAGGAAGATTGGTGGATTGGGGGAGAGATAGGGTGGACATGGGAAAGATAGGATAACGTCTCAACAGTTACGCACAAGTTGACTCAGCACCCACCCACTCACCCATCCGCCGGCCTTGTTGCTCCTCTTAATCTCCTCCTGCTCCTTTCCACTTGCTCCTTATCTCCACCTAATCGATTCACTCACCCATCCGCCTGCTCTGTTGATCTTCTTAACCTCTCCCGCACCTTCCCCCAGTTGTTGCCTTTCCAATATGCTAAAAAAAAAAAAAAAAAAAAAAAAAACAACGCACCCATCCGCCCGCCTTGTTGATCCTCTTAATCTCCGCCTGCGCCTTGCCCGAGTCGCCGCTGGGCTTATGGTCGTCCGAGATGTATCCCTCGTCGCCCCCCCCAACAGCCATCACGGCGCGCGAGTCGCCTATGTGCGCCACGAACAGGCGGTCGTGCCGCACGAACGCTACCGTGCCCGTTGAACCAGACTCGGGCTCAGAACTGTGCTCCTCCAGCCTGGGGTGTTGGGTTGCGAGAGGCGGGGGAATCGGCGGCGGGAGATTCGACTGAAAAGTGACACACAAACGCCTCTGTACCCGTCGACCCCGACTCAGGCTCAGAACTGTGCTCCTCCAGCCTGGGGGGGACTATGCAGGAGGGAGTGTAGGGGTGGGGAGGGAGAGGGGACACGCGCGAGGGGAGAGGAATGTAGGAGGGGAGGGAGAGAACAGAAGGAAGGGGGAAGGGGATATGTGCGAGGGGAGCAATACTCAAGTCGAGGCAAGTAAGCGAGTAATGCTCGAGGCGAGCAACAATCCAGGCAAGTAATACTCAAGTCGCGGCGAGTAATTCTCTAGGCGAGGTAAGTAATAATTGAGGCGAGTAATACTCACCACTGCAGCAGGCGCTGGTCGGCTTTAAGAAAAGCATCCTCGCGCGTTTCCGCGGCCGTCAGCTCCTCGTCCTCCAACACCGCACCGCCTTCCAGTGCCAGCACACAACAAGCACACCATACAAACGCACCCAACCAAACACACCCACCAAGCACACCCACACCACCAAGCCCTCTTACCACCGCAGCAGCCGTTGATCAGCCTTGAGAAACGCGCGTCCTCCGCAGCCGTCAGGTCCTCGTCCTCCAACACCGCACCGCCCTCCAGTGCCAGCACACAACAAGCACACCCACACCATACAAACGCACCAACAAAACGCACCCACACCACCAAGCCCCTGTAGGAGCCGTTGATCAGCCTTGAGAAACGCGTCTTCGAGCGCGTCCTCCGCAGCAGTCAGGTCCTCGTCCTCCAACACCGCGCCGCCCTCCAGCGCCTCCATAACCTCACCATACACTCAGTCAACCCCCGCCAAGCACACCCGCTCACCACTGCAGCAGCCGTTGGTCGGCTTTAAGGAAAGCATCTTCGAGCGCGTCCTCCGCGGCCGTCAGGTCCTCGTCCTACAAACACCGCGCCGCCCTCCAGTGCCTCCATGCAGTCGTCGTGCAGCTCGTCGCTCAGAAACTTCGCGGAAGACGCGCCTGCACGTGCGACAACACGCGCTCCGAAGGTCAACTCACACGCTCAAATCTTAAGTATCGGAAGCTTCCCAGAAAAGCAGAAATGAAAGGTTTGGAAACTGCACGCTCAGTATCCGTCCAACACGCTCCTGGCAGTCAAATACGCACCTGCGTGGCCGTCAAATACGCCGGCGTAGAGGAACCCAGCGCCTATGTCTTCCAGAACCACCACGTGGTCCTCCATCTCGTCGACTCAGTAGATACCTGGATGGCCGTCAAAACGCACCGGGTGGCCATCAAATGCGCACCGGGTGGCCGTCAAATACACACCTGCGTGGCCGTCAAATACGCCGGCGTAGAGGAACCCAGCGCCTATGTCCTCCAGAACCACCACGTGGTCCTCCATCTCGTCGCGCGCCCCTGCGCCGCGTGGCACCCCACCTTCAGGCGGCGGCGCGGCGTCCCTTCCGTTCCTGACGCCGCGACTGACGGCGCGTCCTCCGCTGTGGGTGCTGCGGCAGCAGCCGTGACGGGAGTCGCTGCAGCAGAAGGAGGTGCGACTCGTCGAGGGCCCTTAGCTGAAGCGCATGATGCGGAGAGATTCAAGTTCAGGTTGAAGAAACTCGACTCGTCGCGGACGAGGGAGGAGGCTGATGATTTGAGTGGTACAACTGGAGCGGGAGTGAGCCTGAGGGAGGAGATAAGCGAGCGAACCGCCGCCATGGTTGCCGTAAGAGGTTCTTTCGAAGTTGCGGACTTGCAATTGTAGGATTGGTGAACAAGTGGATGCCCAGCCCAACAATCACTGAATTCAGCAATGCTACGCAAAAACGATGTGTCCTACTATGCACGAAGCAGAAAGCAATGAGCTCGGTACGTCTTCTCCAGTGGAGGACCTATGCTTCGTATAGTACGACGACAAACCTTCTTTAGCCAAACTCCGAGACGTATATACGAACGGACAACCTATGAACGACCTTCAGGTACGTACGTCCTCTTCTTCTCCGCGTTATCGTAATTTATGGAGGTCCTACCTCAGACTTCCTTGCTTCCACTGACCAATCACAGTATTTCTGACAGAATCAGTCTGCCGTGAATTACCCGTTGATGATTTCCTACCTCTTATTCTGAATGCGGCCTTTTGATTGAAATCGCTTGTCCCAAACAACCAATCTCGGAGGAGGCGCGGTGCCACGTCACAATGCCTCGGCATGCTCGATGGTGGTCCACGAGGTTGACATCCACCCTACGATTGGGTCAACCACGTGGAACGTGTGGCGAGCAACGTCGATTCGCTCAACATGCCTGGCGAAAAGGTATGGAATCGGCTCGGGAGGAATCGATCAAGGATTTCACAAAGCTCGCTGTAGTTTGTGGAGCCAGCGTGGCAAGCTTTTCATTTGTCGGTCTTCTTCGGGCCAACATCACTGGCATGCAACATAGTATGGTAACCCTATGCAATTGTATGCAAAACCGTCGATACCTCGGTTTTGAAGTTATTTAGATATTGCGCTAGTATTTAGGCTCTTTTGAATGGACACACTGATTTTTAACGCGCTTATCTTTCCGCTAAAATTCTATTTATTCGGACAACTGTTCTGCCCATATGAGCAACACTGTTCACTTCTTTTGACAGAAAAAAAATAAAACCCAATCGGAAAGGGATGCACTCGGGGAGGCATCAACCCTAAAAACAATGCCCTTTCCCGTTTTTAGGGTTGATCCCTCCCTGAAATAAGTCCAGGTCCCTAGGGGTTTATTTTTTTCCTGCCTGCACTAGCAGTAGTCGGTAGCAGTATATTGGGTGGAATATATTGTTACGAAAAAGACCCCGTTAACTTCCATTCTAACGGATTTTCCTGTTAAAATTATCGTGCAAAATAGTTGTCTGCAGGAATATTTGTCAGGCGCCGAACGGAGCGCGTTAAAAAACTAATGAAACGAAATCGAAAACGCATTCGGTTGTTGCACCCATTGCACCCTTTTTGTGCTGCGTCAGCTGTTACACAGTGTTTTGAGTGGCGCTACCGGACAAATTTGCGAAGCAGAACTGGGGTATCGACGGTTTTGCATACCATCGAATAGGGTTACCAGACTAATTTGCATGTCTATGATGTTGGCCCGTCTTCTTCACCAATCCACTGCCTTACGAAAGTAGGGCTCGCTTGCTGTCATCATGGCTAATTATCACGACCACACCCCACCTCCCTGTTTGAGCAACTGCGCTACGCTGCGCTATGAAATCGGAACCAAAAAAGGATAGAAAAGCACTAACATACATACATGCAACCTTATTGCATTATTCTCCACCTTCCTGTTCCATCCCCCTCTAGCACAAGCTCAGCATGGTGCCACCTCCGCAGAGATTCTCTTCTATGGCTAACACTAACAATAGCAACCCCCGCCATAGCAAGCCAGGCAATACATACGCGCCTCCATCTCGCCATCCACAGCACTCGTAGCCTCATCCAGGAAAACCAACCTCGGGCGATGAAACACCACTCTTGCAAACTGAAGCCGCTGCTGCTCCCCTGGAGAAAGTCCCGCAACCCAACTTCGAGCGTTGCCTGACCATTCTGGAGACGGCCTGATGTTGGGACAACCTTGCTGCTGACAGTGCCTCTCATTGCCAAAACGATCCTCAGATTTCAACCAGTCCATCTGGACAGATGGTCTCCAGAAATGGTAACAGGTGCGTCAAGCCCACCACAGCAAGAGCAGCCTCCATCCTAGTCCTTACGCCGCCATCCCTCCTCCTGCCTCTACACACACCCTCGGGAATACCCCCAAGTTCCATAGGGTACATGACTTGAGCAGCAAGGCAGGGGGAGGGAGCAAGAAGGGGCTTCTGGGGAAGGAACATGACATTGGGGGAAGCAGCAGGGGGGTATAACGTCACGGGGGGAAGGAGGGGCTGCAGCAGATGAAATTACGCTGCTGCGGCTGCTGCTGCTGACGTGGCGGCTGCTGGTTGGCCAGAGTCCAGCGATGGCGCGCAGGAGGCTGGTTTTGCCACACCCGCTGGGACCGGTGGACCAGTAGGGCCTTGCCACGTGGCAGATGGAGAGAGAGGTTCGCGACAATGAGGTGGTTTGTTTGGGGGAGAGTGAGAGTGAGACGGGAGAGGGAGAGTGCAGGAGGGAAGGAGGAGGGGGAACAGGTGTGGCATGGTGGGTGCACCTCAAGTTCAGGTCCAGGTTCAGGCTTAAAAGCAGGCAGACGTTCAGGTTCAGGTGCCACCAATGCTTCCTCACACCCTCCCTCCGCTCCCTTCCCCGCTGCTGTCACACCTCCCATCTTCCATCCCCGTCCCCTGTCCCACCACCACGACCCCTTCCTCCTCCTGCCAGCCTGGCAGGCGCCAACCAGAGCCTGCCACGTGGCGGATGGCAGATTGCAGGAGAGGGAGAGGGGCGGTGGTGAGGAGGGAGGCTGGGTAGGTGTGCGTGCCAAATGAAGGGTGGAGAACTAGGGGGCATGACGGCATTGGTGGTGGTCCTGGTACTGCTGGTGTTGCTGGTTCTGCTGCTCCTGCTGCTGCTGCTGCCGCCGCAGCATTAGGAAAACACTGTGGAGCCCATTGAAGCTGCTGCTGCTTCACTGGCCGTGGCAGTGGGAGCAACAGGATAACCGAGGAGGATCTGGGCAACGTCCACCTCGTTGTACTTGATGGGGGAGGGGAACGGCCACGTGCAGCCAGCACCGATACCAGTACTGACAAACTCAGCGCCACCACTGCTGCCAGCAGCACCAAATTCGGCACTAACACTGCTGCCACCACCACCGGCACTACGACCAGCGCTGCTGCCACTGCTGCCAGAAGCAGAGTGCATGAGGTAGCCAGTGAGGGGGTCAACAGCGTCAGCCCAGTGACCGGCCGCCCAGATGTGCTCACAGAGCTGCTGCTGGAAGAGGCGGAAGTTGAAGAGCAGCCGGTTCATTGCCCTGCTGACGTCTGCCTGCGTTGCTGTGGCGGAGTCTGCTGGACTCATGCCTGCATGTGCTGAGGCGCCATCTGCATTTGCAACTTCTGATACAGCAGCAGCCGCAGCAGCAGAAGCACCAGCAGCAGAGGAGGATGAATTGTTGTGGATAGGCCAGAGTGGCACATCGCTGCACTGAAATGTCACCACTATCTTCACATCCTCTACTCTCACCTCCCCCCTCTTCACACCTTCCAACCCCCCATACTCTACTCTCACCTCCTCCGTTCTCACATCTTCCATCCTCACCTTCTCGATTTCCGCTCCTTCCATCCCCACATCCTCTACTATCACATCCTCCACACTCATGCTCCATGCCTCGCCCACACGTGCAGCTGCCCACCTCATCTCCGTCTTCCCCCATCCGTCTCCGGATTGTGGCAGCAGGGTCCCTACCAGGGAGCGTAGATCGGGCGGGACAGAGTGAATGGAGTACTGCAGGATCCTGTCAGCTTCGCCGGCTGCTTCCTCGTCAGCTCTCGTGCCGTTGCTTCCTGGTCTCGGCACCATCAGTCAAGTCGGCTCCTGCAGCATAAAGTCCCTTGGCTCCACAAATTCGCCACCACACGGTGTGATCCGCGTGTCCTCACAACGGCCCTCACGCACCGATTCGCCAGCCCCTCTCCACGTGCTTAGCGCTGAGATGGCACGCCTCGACGTCCTCCCCGCGTGAGAAAAGGATGTCCTCGGATCGCTCCTTAACTCTGACATGCGCCATACGGAACTCAGCTTCCCGCCTTTCCTGCTCGGCTACTAGCGCCGCGACTGGAGACATGACGCAGCGCGTTATGACCGCACCGACTGTGAAGAATAGGAGGATGATCAGGAGGCCCGTGGGACCGATTAAAGACACGACCCAGCAGCTGTAGTACAGCACGGTAAGCGGCGCGGTTACCGTTCTACTTAGCAGTAATGAGACCTGCTCCGCGAATCGGTGAATGTCCTCCGTGATCCTTTGATCGGGGTTGTCTATAACGGGTACAGAAGGGTCCTTTGCATTAGTAGCGGCATTATGGACAGAGGAGGTGCCGCATTTCTCGAGATGCGCGAAGTACAGCCAGCTGCTTCGCCTGTACGCCACGTGGCAGGCGGACGTCAGCGTCTTCCGCCATTTCAGGCAAAGGAACTGCGCGACCAATCAGTGAGGGCCGTGGAAACAGCGGCCAGGGTCAACCAGATCGCGGAATTCCCGAGGGTCTTGAGGAAAGCATCCGGGCTGGCATTGACGAGGGCGAAATAGAACGTTCCTGTAACGGTGCCCATTTTCGCAACAATGGGAATGTTTGCGAGCGCGAGGAGTAACAGGATGATGGCGTACTTCGCACCAGCGAGTCGCAGAAGGGCCAGCAAGCGTCGCAAGAAACGGAGATCCACTCGTGCGGAAGACGCGCGATCGTAGCCGTTGACTGGTAACGGCTGATCGTCGGTGCCGATGGTCTGCGACTCCTCGGTGAAGAAACAGCATCGCGAAGCCTGTGATCCTGACCCATCGAACGGTCCAGATTGATTCGGGAAACCACTAAACCCAGCCATGCCTTCGAACAATCAGAAGCCAACGCAGGAAAAACATCACAGATGGTCATAGGTCCTTCATTAATGGCGTCGTTGAGAAACCGCGGGCCTCTAATTCCGGACATGGTTCTCAGACCGACTAGTTCGTCACAAGGTCATGGTAATCTGGATACCCTCGCACTCGCATCAACGGCTCACGGAGCTTGCCGATCAGCACAAGCAATCGCTGCTTGCAGTCCTCAACAACCAAGAGGCACAATTCGCATCTACCTCATTCCGCAGGTTCTCCTCTTGAGGTGGCTAACTCAAGACCAAGGTGAGCTGGTTCTCACTAATGGTGGAGCAAGCTAAGTACGGTAGCGTCTTTTCTCCCAAGACTTGGATTGACCTTTTAGACTAGTAGCTTCTCCGTTCTATTCTTGAGAACTGGTTGTGGGCAAGATAAAAAGCCGCACTGCAACCCCGCTTAGATCCTTTGAAACCTGCAGAACCGACTCTCATCCCGAACAAAACCATCCCAAGGATGGCGATGCTGCAAAACCTGTCCTCGAATTTTGTCCTCTGCTTTGTGGCCTGTGCTGAGTTCAAATTGCTGTTTGATCGGGAGGATGTTCGGCTGGAGCCGTTGGATGAGCTCAGAATCAATCACTGTCGAAGCTGCTCCGTGATCCTGGGCGCTATTGACGTTCCACAACAACACCGTGGCGTGAAGTGATCCGTTTGATATAAATCTCTACAGAGGTAGAGTGTACGTACAAAACCACGGGTGGCATGTACGTATATACAACCATTTTTCAAAGTAGGTGAGCCAACTCAATCTAGTAAATGGGCAAACCACTTCCCAACAAATCATACACTATAATCACCATCAAGACCTAAACCATCCATCCTTCACTTCCTTCTCCTTTCCCTTCCCCCTCCTCCCCCTCCCTTGTCCCTTCCTACTTTCACCTTCCACCAACGCATGCCTAAAGTCGAACACCCGAACATCAGCGTTGGCAGCACCACACACCACCCTCTCATCCTTTATATCCACGCACATTACCGATGAACTCAACCCCCCTAATCTCCTCGCAACGGTCCCTTCCACAATCTCGCCGATTTCCCCATTCGCCCCTATAGCCCATGCTGACCCCCACTTACTGATACCATTCCCTGAGCCCCACTTGCTATCCCCTCCCCCTCCACCCCCTCTTTCCACCATCCCCCACTCCCAACCCCGAATCCTGCCATCCCCCCTCCTTTCCTCTTGTCCTCACCTATTCCATTTCTCCCCAGCCGATCCCCTTTATAAGCCCATCCGCTGCCTTTACAGCGACCTGCTACTGCAGCAGCCGCTCTAATGTCCATAAGAGCACAAGAGCCGTCAGTAGAAGCCGAAACAAGCCATGGGTCCTCAAAGGCAAGACAATTCACGTCATTGCTGTGTGCATGCCACTCTGCCACTGCGTCCCATACACCTCCCTCTCCTCCCTGCCCTCCTCCTCTCCCTGCTTTACCTGCTTTTCCTCCTCTTCCTCCTACTCTCTGATCAAACATCCTCACCACCCCATCCTCCCCTCCAGAAAAGACAAACCGGCCGCACAGGCTTGCTTGAACGGCAAGCGCCTTCCCCTGGTGCGCTGCCACGTGTCGCTTCAGCAGCGCTCCGGTCTCCACGTCCCAGCAGTACACGTCAGCACCAGCAGTGGAGAAGAGGCGGGGAGGGGAGGAGAGCGAGGGGGAGAAGCAGGGTTGCAGCGAGTACACCCAGTCAGCATGGCGAAAGGAAGAGATGGTTGGAAAGGAAGTGGAAAAGGAGGAGGAGGATGAAGAGGAGGAGCAGGAGGTAGAGAGGGAAGACGAAAGGTCCCAGCAACGAATGGTCGAATCCCACGACCCCGAGAAGAGGAGACGGCGGGACGAGACAGGCGAGGAGGACGAAGCGGAATCGGCAGAGAATGCTGGGAATGGGGAAGAGGAGGAGGAGCGGGGAATTTGCCACCTGTTTGAACCTGGAGCATGGTACCCCCCTTCCAGAGCCAGACAGGTAATAGGACCCATGTGTCCATGCAGCAGGACCGGAACCGAGGGCAGGTGTGACGGAGCAGCAGGGGGATGCGGTGGAGGAGGAGAGGGAAACGACGGAGACGGAGAAGGAGGACGAGCATGAGAAGGCACATCGGCAGCAGGGGGTGCAGCAGCTTCTTTTGAATCTAGTGGCCCGTTCCTGACAGAGTGAGCAAGCTGGGCGGCAAGGGTCTTAGCTGCTTGGGTGTGGCTCCACATGCCAGACACGTCAAACAGATACGGACAATCGTTTGCCGCCCGCCAGATCCGGATCACCGCGTCCGTGCCGCCCACTGCCAGAAAGTCCAGCCCTGCCGCCACCGCCCGTACCGTCTCGCCAAGTGGCGGCGACGTGGCGATGGGGATCCCACCGCTGTAACTGTAACTGTTGCTGATGTTGTTGAAACTACCAGAGTAATTATGGATGGAGGGAGTGGGGAGTGGTACTGGGGTGGTAACCAGTGCTGCTCCAATCATCCAGCGACCAGATTCGAATGGTCGAGTCATAACCAGCAGTAATGGCCAGAGAAAATGGTGGGTTCAGCGGTGGCTCGAGCAGAGAACGAGGATAGGAGTGTGAGAAGGGTTGAGAGGGAGGGCGAGAGGGGGAGTAAGAGGGGGTGAAGCGGAAGGGCGGTCGGGTGAGCATCCTGACAGCACGCACGCCGGAGGTGTGGCCTGCAAGGAAATCGCTCTGGAACCTTCCGAGATACGCCATGGACCGCCTCTGGCGCTGCAGGTACATCTCCCTCCAATTCACCCCACCTGCACCCATGCTACCACCATCGGTACCCCTCTCTCTCGTTTCCCTTCTGTCGTTCTCCTCCGCTCCCACTGGTCCTAATTTTCCATGTCTTGGCGCGCTGACAGCGGGTAATGCGCCTGAGGTTGTCGCGTAACTGCTACTCTCCCCTCTTGTGCTTGGTTCGCTTGAACTTCTCAATCCTCGTCTTCCCTCTTCCTCTTTTCCTCCTCCGTCTCGTCCCTTTTTCCTTCCACCGCTTTGCACTCCTCCCTCCCTTCCTCCCTCCACTCTCCCACCACCTAGACCAATCACAGGTGGCGCCCATCGCTCGCAGTAGAACCGCATCCAACCGCACGATTCTCCCGCCAGGCGATGCAGCAGGCGGCAGCAGCAGGACAACGACGCCAGATCGTGGACGTCCAAATGCCGGAGCACCTCCAGGATCAACGGATGGGGTAAATCCAGAAAACTCATGCTTTGATCAGGGTAATGCGGTTCACCAGCGAAACTCCCCACTGATTGGCCCAGAGTCTCCAGGCTACGAGTCGCCTCGACGCCTCGCCGAATTTCCAGGCTTCCTGATTGGCTCGGCCGTTCCATGCCACCACCTCTCTCCTCTATACCAACCAGTCTTGTTTCCGTTTCAACCCGCTCCTTAATTCCCCCTTGCGAGGCTAGGTTCCGATCAAGCACGGTCGGACCAGGATCGCCTAAAGCTGCTTCGGTTTGGCCTACAACTGGATAAGGTTCGTGTGAATCGTCGAACCAGGCCGCGTCAGCAGCGCCAGGTGGATGGCTGTGATAGTTCTGATGCGGATCTGGCAGTGCGGCGTCGCATGTGGAGGATGAACTCGCTCCCGATGACGTGGCAAGCGGCGATGCCGCGGATACGAACATAATGGCTGAGAAGCAGCGGTTCAGGACAGGACAGTCATAAGAAATGAAGGAGCCTATTAACGGGCTCGCATAAACAGGTCTAGATCCTGCCTGCTTCAGCAATGTCCTAGTTCCAGGTGTGCTTCTATAAGTTGGACCTTAGGAGGTTGATTAGTCACCACTCCGTACCTGTTAGTAGCTCTATGTCTCCTGTATTTGTGTGGCATGGTCTATATACAGTTGAGAGGTGCTTTATAACTATACTTACCTATTGTACTCGAGTGAACCAAACTGAAAGATGGATTCTTCGTTCCCGTTCGTATGTGTGTGTTTTTGCTTTTTCGAAGGCACAATTTATGTTGTGTCGGGTCTCTTTCTCCCATAGCTTACGCTGTACTGGTCATCGACCGCGCGCAATTTAGGGACCCACACATAGGCTTGACGTGGAAAGATCGCTGCATGACAGGGCATGTCTCATCAGTGAGTCTGCGCTCCGCACTTTCTGACATGCCGGCTCTACCTTGAACACACGATTGAGCCACATGGCAGGTTCGGAGCATCCTGACATTCAGTTCGTGTAGCATCATCCCGTTCGTTTCCCCCACCATACCAGACCGTAACCGCAATCTTCGAGGCTCGCCCAAGAAGCTTGGAAACAGCAACTTTCGCACTGCCTGACGAAGCTTTTGCAACATACGACACACCAACCTTCAGCCATACGACTATTTCGCGAACACTCATCCAGTCCCGAACCAAACGACGCTTTTGCGGCATGCGACCACACCCATCCCCATCCCAGTCGCCATCATCCGTGGTCATGACTCGTGACTGATGACACAAGATCGGTAGCCCTAACTCCGAGTAAACTTCTGTCGCGTTGGCATGCTCGGAGTTAGTACACCGACTCACACGAGCGTGCACGTGTCGGTGGGAGCTTCTCTCTCCTGCTGTAACTCCGCGTTGGGAAGTTGCGAGGGTGGGGGCCGCGATATCGCCCAAACCACTGTTGCATGCAGCCCAGACTGCCCCACAGTCCATCAAGCAGGCAAATTTCCACAAAGGGTATACCGGGTCACAAATTGAACCGTCGAAGAGAGGCTGTAAATTTTCAACTCTGATATATGAGGGGGGGGCCCGTCCAACAAAAATACCCAATCCGGAGATTGAATGGGTTCGCCCTTCAAAACCTTACTCCGAGTAGTGCGAGAAGTTCTCCCCCAAATGCTGGAGTTAGGGGATGCCTTACTCGGAGTTAGGTTTGCCCCTGTAGGAATCATCCCGCAGGGTTCCGACGGGTCGTACTCCGAGTGCGCGTTACTCCGATCGTTTGCCCGTTTTGGCTTACTCGGAGTAAGCCACGTCGGTGTGATTGTATCCGACGCACGTGCGAAGGGGGAATTAGTGAACCCCCTCGAAGCCCCCCAACTCGGAGTAAGGGGGCTACCGATCAGGGCCAAGGCTGACTTGAGAGTGCTCGCCGCTGATTGGCCTGAATGGTGTTTTGTCGCGGCAACTCTGGGGGAAAATTCCCGTTCCCTTGGTTCCACTACACTCAACCGCACTCCGAATCATTCCACCCCATTCCACGTCGTCTGTTCCTCCCGTTCCGTGCATCTGATCTGAAGATCTCAGCGGAATTGGGTCGTCAAGCCTGACGACCTGTGACGACCTGACGACCTGCTGCCCCGGGCAGAAAAAAAAACTAAAACCCTATCGGATGGCATGCCATCCGAGGGAGGCATCAACCCTAAATCCATGCCTCCCCGTGTTTAGGATTGATGCCTCCCTGACCGGATGCATGCCCGAATGGGTTTTATTTTTTTTGCCCGCGGGCAACGAGCTCCCTCGGGCGACGACCTGATTCCGCTGAGCTATTTTCGGCTGTTCGGTTCGTGGGAGACTGTCGAGGGGTGTCACTGACCCAGCTGTGTGCTCTTGTTGAGCTGACCGCTAAATCTTGTGACTGAAGAACGGGTCAAGCCAACTGAGAGTCTTGCCTTTGAGCTCCATAACTTCCGACGATCTTTTTCACTTGCCTTTTTTCTCGCAGGCGTTGGTTTGGTGTATGAGGAGGGACTTCTCGCAGAGGAGTAGGGTTGCCTCGCACCAGAGTACCGGACACTACTTGGTTCTTGCAGCTGTTCCTATGCTGGATCATATGCGGAGAAGGACACTTTCCAAGAACGTGTTGTCCTATCGAACCCTGGTCCTATAGCTCGTGTTCTGCGTCATTCTGTCCATTTTCCTGTGTATATTGTAGAGTTAGCTTGCCTCCGTACCGATAAGTTACAAGGACGCCGAAGTATCACGTCAGCAATGGCTGAGACCCAGGATGTTATGATGCTGTGTGTTCATATGGACAACAAGAGACCGGGCTCTTTCCAGTTAACTCCAGGCGTTACGCCTGGAACCGGCTCAACGTCTCAAATCAGCCAACATCTGGGGGTGGCGAGAAGGCGAGGCGAAGGCCTGAGACAAGAGGTGGTTTCTAACGCCAACCAGACAACTTCTAGGCGAGGCTCCTTCGAGTTGCAAAACGAAGACCGCGTTGCGATATCTTCCGGCCTCGGAGAAACGGCGTTTTCAGCAGGAGAAAGGGTCCTCCGACCATCATAGCGATCCTTGGTGGTCGGCGTAAATTTTATCTAACGGTTCAATTTGTTTGGGCTTGAGGTAATCCGTGCAATGCCTTTCTCGACGCCTTCGTCTTCTCGCTTCCAATGCCGTGTTTCTTATCTGGCTAGTTAGCCAGGGAGCTCCCCATTGGGCCTCCCCATTGTTTCTTGGGGATTCGTTGAGGTTGTGTGTGTGACTGAATCAGGTCTTTGTACAGGTACCGTGTTTCGTGTGACTGATATTTGTGTAACCCTGACTGTTTTTCTGAACGATACTTTTACTTTTGAGCTGACGTTGGAGATGCCTCTTACATGAATATTATGCTGGTTACTGCCAGTATGTTCTGTGTGCAGATTGGATACACACCTAAATGGCTCAAGAGTTACATAGAGAATGAAATAAACAGCACTTCAAGGGAGGACAAACACAGCACAAAGCACACATGGTACACACAAAAAGCCTGGAATCAATACAACACAACACAAGATTTCCCCACCATACCATAGGCATTCCACCTCCATGTTTCCGCCACGCAATATTTGAGAACTGCGCCTGTCATGTGTCACCGTGCTACGACTTCAAGCTGTAGCAAACAACCCATTATACACCAACAGTTTAGCAATCTGCCATTTATTAGTGCAGCCGCAGTGTCAGCGGCAGCGGCAGCGGCAGCAGCCGCGGCATAACCACCACAGCATTCCATCCCCTTGTTGACATTGCTCTGTACGGTATTCACACCACCCGCTTCCAGCAACTCGGGAATCCATTGCTGCAACTCAATCAGAGGACCCCATGCAGTGCAGTATCTCTTTACCACTGGTTGCAACTTGCCGGCCCTTTTTGAAGCACGCCGCTGACGCACTCCTCCTTCGCCACCCTCCCAGCCAACTCGCCCACTGCCTTGCACTGCTTCGATTGTGACCCCTCCCCCCACGCCTCCCCTCCTGGTCAACTTGAGCTGGGAGACCAGTTTTCCTCACCCCCCACCCTCCTCGTCGCATTCGGGTAAATCACCCTCCATAAATGGCATTCCCAAAGAGGCACCACCATTGAGCGCCTGCTCAGGAAAACTCTCCCCTAGCCAGTTTCCAAACCTCCCGTTGGACGCGCCGTACTTTGCCGAAGCTGGCGGCATGGAATGAAGTTGCCTTGTGGATCCGTGCCGTGGAAAAGAAGGTAGAGGTACGGGTGGGAGAATCTTGTCTGTGGGACGGGAGGAGGATGGGGAGGAAAAACATAAGAATGGAGATAAGCCAATGGAGAGATATGCGTAAGGAGAAATGATGGGCAAATAGACTGGAGCTAGTCCTAGGAATGGGGGATGGGGCATGTGAAGAAAAGTACAGACAGGATCCAGTACATTTGCAAGAGTCTGAGATCTGGAGACCTCTCAACTTGAAGTATTTTTGGTGCAAGCACCGAGGATACGTACTGTTGTCGGCTCGCTGGGAAGGATTAGTTGGTCCTCGGCCACTGCAAGAAAGAGGGAAAAATGAACGAAATAAAGAAGCAAGAAAGAAACAGAAGAAAGAGCTGGAGAGGGGGAACAAGAGAGGGGGAAGAGACGAAGGGGGAAACGGATACATGCGCTTGAAGAAACTGAAGGAGAAAACCTAACGCCAATCTCAGCGATGCTGATTTCTGCTGTGCGTATGGCAACCCATATTGGTATCACTCACCGTAAGCTACCGGAAAGCTTCCTCCCTCAGCAGAGTCCAAGAGAACCTGCTTGGTGCAGTGGTATGGGATGGGCGAGGAAAGTTATGATAAGAGACTGCAATCATTGGCAACGGTGGGAAATGTGTAAATTGTATGGTTCCATGACTAAGGAATTTATCATCACCGGACCTTCTCCCTGCTCAGGCGAGGGCAATGAGCAAGGAGAATGGGAAGAATACGCGTTCGGATGCCCTTCGGCGGAGCGCACAGGCGAAGGGCCATGCGGCGTGTAATCTACCCATTCTTCTTGCTCATTGTCTTCGTCTGAGCAGTGAGAAGGCATTTATCATGACCGGCCAGTGAGGTGGCATGATCTACTTACGAAATAACACATCAATGACTGCTTGTAGCTTCCCGCCCAAGGAACGGTGGTATTCCATAGGCGCGAAGCGCAGAAAAAGGTGCTGCGTTCGGTTTATTTATCCGCACCGCCTGCGAGCTTGCAAAGCAAGCACCGCAAATTAACAAACTTGCAACGCGAATTCGGTTGCAACAACAACGTTCGGAAGGGCGCCTTACAAAACCATCCGTTCGCAAGCAACCAGCGCAAGCGGCACGCAAGGTGCCCTTCCGAAAGCAAAGCAACGCGACGTTCGGTTGCAGAGCAATCAAAGCAATCAAAGCAACCAGCGCAAGCGGCACGCAAGGTGCCCCTCCAAAAGCAAAGAAACGCGCCGTTCGGTTGCAAAGTAACGCGACTTCGCAAAGCAATGTTAACTTGCTTGGCGCATTAGAAACGATAGGAGGCCAAGGTTTAGGGTAGTTCAATTCCACACCTGACACATGTTTAAATCAATTGGTACACATTTCCAATGAAGTAGTTGGAAATTCCTAGTCTTTGGAAAACCAAATCTTTGACTAAAGCGAATGGTGACCGTGGAGACTCAAATCTGACAGGAAAGTCAATTTGATTAAAAATACTCGATCTGATTGGGGAACAGATTCAAGATATTCGACCCACCAAGCGCGCATACCTGGTAAAACGGCTGACACGGCCCTCTGGGAAGGCCTGCCACGTCAGCAGCTGCCATCCACTCTGCTGACTCACAGCACACGGGATCCACACCCACCACCACTGCATCATAGGCTGCGATGGGTATAGGGGAGCAATGGGAGAGGGGGAGCTAAGAAAGAGGAATTGAACGGACTAGTTCCCGGTGGCCCCGCTCGCAGCACAGGGGATCCACGCCCACCACCACGGCGGTATAGACTGGGAGGGGGGGGGGGGGGGGGGCGGCGGAATGGGAAAGGGGGAGGTGGAGGGGGGAGAATAGGGGAAAAAGGGGGTTGAAAACGGCAAGTGCGGGCAAAAGGGAACAGGCCCAGTTTCAAATGCCACTACGAGCACAGGGAATCCACGCCCCCCACCACGGCGGTATAGGCTGGCAGAGGGGGAAGGGGAGCAATGGGAGAGGGGGTCCAGGCAGGGGGGTAAAGCGTCAGGGATTGGAGGAAAGCGTGAGGGCAGGCCCAGTTTCAAATGCCACTGCGAGCACACGAAATTCACGCCTTGTCACCACGGCGGTATAGGCTGGCAGAGGGGGAAGGGGAGCAATGGGAGAGGGGGTCCAGCCCCTCTCACCTCTCGCCACTGCGAGCACACGAAATTCACGCCTTGTCACCTGGCCCTGCCCCTCTCTTGAGGCGCCTCAAAACTTTTGAGGCGCCTCAAAAGTCGGAATTCACGCCTTGTCACCCGGCCCTGCCCCTCTCTCTCACCTTGTCTGCAATGCTCCACCCCCCCTCCTCGTTCCCAGCCCCCAGCCCCCACCCTCCCCCTTCTCTTTCTCTCTCTCACTGCGTCGGCAGTGCTGCACGCGCTGTCCCAACTGAAAGCGACACCTCACCGCCCCCCTGCCGCACACTCAATCCCTGGCCCTTTCCACACCCCTTTCCCCCTCCCTCCAACTCCCCACTCCCCACCCTCCTCCTTCTCTTTCTCTCTCTCACCGTGCCTGCAGTGTTGCACGCGCTGCCCCAACTGAAAGCGACACCTCACGGCCTTTACTTCCCCTTCCCCTTCCCCTGTTTTTCCCCCGTATGCTGCCTGCTGTAGCTCCTCTCTGCACAGCGGGCAGGCAGAAAAATAAGGGTGGGGAAAGGTAATGGCGTAGAATGAGGCACTGAATAAGGTGAGACCAGGGAGGGTGGTCGGGGCGAAGGGGAGACGGGGAGGGCAACGAAGGTCGACGCAAGTCAGTTCAGTCAGGCTAATGGAAACCAACCCGATTACATATAAGTCAAACCAAGTCAACCAATTCAAAGCAGTAAAACCAAGTCAGAAAAGTCAACGCACTTTAGGGTGTGCATGGAGAGAGGGCCACCCTCCACCAATGGTGGCATGCAGCTGAAACTGCTGCCGCCACCACCGCTGCTGTTGCTGGTGCTGCTGCTGCTTCCCAAGGCGGAAGGGTCAGCGGAAAGGGTGTGCATGGAGAGAGGCCCACCCTCCACCAATGGTGGCATGCAGCTGAAACTGCTGCTGCTGCCGCCGCCGCCACTGTTGCTGGTGCTGCTGCTGCTTCCCAAGGCGGAAGGGTCAGCGGAAAGGGTTTGCATGGAGAGAGGCCCACCCTCCACCAATTGTGGCATGCAGCTGAAACTGCTGCTGCTGCCGCCGCCGCCACTGTTGCTGGTGCTGCTGCTGCTTCCCAAGGCGGAAGGGTCAGCGGAAAGGGTTTGCATGGAGAGAGGCCCACCCTCCACCAATGGTGGCATGCAGCTGAAACTGCTGCTGCTGCCGCCGCCGCCACTGTTGCTGGTGCTGCTGCTGCTTCCCAAGGCGGAAGGGTCAGCGGAAAGGGTTTGCATGGAGAGAGGCCCACCCTCCACCAATGGTGGCATGCAGCTGAAACTGCTGCTGCTGCCGCCGCCGCCACTGTTGCTGGTGCTGCTGCTGCTTCCCAAGGCGGAAGGGTCAGCGGAAAGGGTTTGCATGGAGAGAGGCCCACCCTCCACCAATGGTGGCATGCAGCTGAAACTGCTGCTGCTGCCGCCGCCGCCACTGTTGCTGGTGCTTCCCAAGGCGGAAGGGGCGGCGGACGGGGCGGCGGAAAGGGCAGCGGAGGGGACGGCGGAAGGGGCGGCGGAAGGGGCGGCGGTTGGGGCGGCGGCGTGGTTAGCGCAGGGGATAGGGGAAGGAGGCGCAGCGGAGGCGAAGGAGATGGCGGCTTTGGCGTCTCGTTGCCGCGCCGTCTCTCTGTCGATCTCCGCGATCTTCTCTCGTAGCTCCTGCGCTGCTTCGTATTGGTCCGCCTGCAGCGCTCTCTGCGCGGATAGAGGGATTGGGGGAAGGCGGAGGGGGGAAGGGCAGGGGGAGGGGGGAAGGGGAGGAAAGGGAGAAACTGTCTCTCTGTCGATCTCCGCGATCTTCTCCCTTAGCTCCTGCGCTGCTTCGTATTGGTCCGCCTGCAGCGCTCTCTGCGCGGATAGAGGGATTGGGGGAAGGCGGAGGGGGGAAGGGCAGGGGGAGGGGGAAGGGGAGGAAAGGGAGAAACTGTCCTCTCTGTCGATCTCCGCGATCTTCTCCCTTAGCTCCTGCGCTGCCTCGTACTGGTCCGCCTGCAGCGCTCTCTGCGCAGACAGAGGGAAGGAAGGGGAAGATGGGGGGGGAAAGGAAAGGGGGCTTTGCTTATTCCGTAGCTCCTGCGCTGCCTCGTACTGTTCCGCTTGCAGCGCTCTCTGCGCAGAAGGGCGGGAAGGCGGGTTTGGCGGAAGGCGAATGGGGACGGAAAGAGGGAGGGGGAAGGGGGGGGGGGGGGGTGGGGGTGGAGTGCGTTGGGAAGGGGAAATTGGGCGGGGAGTGGGTTGGGAAAAAGGGAGGGGAAAAGAGGTCAGGGAGGAAAGGGGACAGTCTCTTGGTCGATCTCCGCCGGCTTATCCCTACCTGCCCTCACCTGCGTCCTACCTGCGCCCCTACTTGCGCCCAACCTGCGCCCCACCTGTGCCGTGCCTGCCTCCATACCTGCGCCCAACCTCTGCCATAATAGCCCCCATATGGCGCCCTACCTCCAGGCGCGCGTTTAAGTCCATTCGGTAGAAGAACAGCAGCAGCTCCTCATTCACCATCGCGCTATACTCCGCCTCCGCGCCGCTTCTCGATGCGCCGCTGCTTCCCGCGCCGCCGCCGCCGCCGCCGCAGCTGCCGCCGGGAGCTAGCGATTTATCAACGATGGGTGGAGACAGGGGCCGCCAGATAGCGTGTAAAGGTGGATTTTGCTGCTGAGGTTGTGGTTGTTGTTGCTGTTGCTGCTGCTGCGGTTGATTTTGCTGTTGTTGCTGCGGGAATTCCTGCTGTATTTCCTGCTGTAGCTGCTGTTGTAGCTGAAAGAACGTCGCAAATGTCGGGCTAGTGGGAGAGCGACACGTGTTGAAAAACGCCATCGCGGCGCCCGCGGAGAGGCGCCCAGTGCGTCGCCGCGGTGTGCGCGGAGAGGTTAGGCGCGGGGAGGAACGGCTCCGCCCCATCCGCGGGCTGCTGCCGACGGTTCCGCGGGAGAGGCCTCCGCGCGGGCAGCGCACGCGGGGAAGGCGCAAGTGATTGGTGAAATGGGGGCTTGAAAGAACCTCCACTCCTCCGCCGTCGCCGCCGCCACCGGCCGACATGGTGGCGCGGGCCAAATAGGGCGCTATGCTGATTGACGGAGCGGGCACGATAAGGCGCTACGTTAGACGGCGAGAAGGCAACGAGAAGGTACACGTCCCTGAGATTATGGCTAATAGTTGCTGCGCTGGCGAAATGGGCTGTGGTGCTACGGCAATTAGGCCAAAATAATTCGAAAACAAGGGTGAACGCGTTAGGATGCTTGTGTAACGAGAGCTCCGTCTGAATTCTTGCAGAGAGTAGCTTAGCGGAATGCACGAAGCTGCGAATTCAAGAAGGGAGGAGCAGGGCCAAGCTAGGTTTGTTGAGGAAATAGAAGTTTGGTGCAGAACTAAGAGAATTGCGTGGGACTGGAAATGAAAACTTGAGAATGGCGCAGAAGCATCTAGAATCTGGATCGTACAAATACGCGAGTGGGGAGATGGGGAAATTGATGGGGGCGGGAAAGTGGTTTGGCTGGGATGGGATTGGTTGAAAGGGGCAATTCGGGCAGGAATTTTGGGGTTCTCTCGCGTGCGCGGAGCCGAGAGGGGCAGTAATTGCGCATTTGATTGGGGTTGAGGCTATAGCTATGGGGGTGGCGGTACCTGCTTTGGCGGCGCCGCTTGGCGTCGCGCGGGTCGCAGGAAGTGGTGTCTGTAAATCCCGCGCCTCCCCCTTCCTTCAAAACTAGCTGCGGAAAGGGGCTTGCGCTTGGCGACTGTTTCACGTGCTGGTTGTCGCCAGCTCCGCATGAACTACAGCTTTGTTGGTGATTCGTTGGCGACGTGGCACTTCGTCAGCCTCCTCATGTGAAGGGTGTCGCGAAGTGCTGAACCTCTTTGACGAGTCTCGCGAAATTATGTCACGTGACCTGAGATATTGTTTGGGCTCGGATTCAGCCCGAACCAAGCGCAGAGCGGAATACCCTCTCAGTGCGCATCTACACATGGGCGGAGCGGTAAAAACGCACAACGCGTTGAGTCTGGACCCTCCGCTATACACATTCTCGAAAACCATGAGGCTAACTGCTATAATATTCGTCACTTATACACCAAATATGTAGCCACTCCCTCCTTTCTCCCTCCGTTTGTATGGCTTCGTGTTGGTGTGGAGACGCTGATGTGGCGTTTCGTGTTGTCCATGCAAGCTGGTCGGCATCCCCAAGGATCCGTCGAATGTTCAACAGCCTCCCTAGAACCTGGAGCCAGCTCAGGTGGTTGTCAGCAATTTCAGGCAGAATGTCAGACATGTCTCGTATCACCGAATCTGACCTGTCTGGATCATTTTGAACCGAATAAACCGGTCCAGTAACCCCTGTCTTCAAGCTCTATTCCAGTATTGTATTAGCAAGGCGTAAGGTGTGGTCTGTGTGCACCGCAGCACATCAGGTAGAAGCGTTCTGAAAGCCTTTGCACCGATCCGTGCGGATGCCTTTTCCGACATTTCTCTCGTGCCAATTCTGAATTACAGCATCCTGACCTGAAGAGCAGATGGAGCAGCGCTTTGCATAATTCACGTTTCTTGGATTTGCAAGCATTGGGTTTCTCCATTCTTCTAGCTGCATTCGCTTCAGTACGAGCCTTTAGTGGTCTCGTTATTTCAGCTACATTCGCATAGAAGTCTGATCTCTAACTAACGCGGTCGCGTTAGCTGGACAAGAATGGCCGAGAATCTGGATGTCGGTCCTGGGAAGTGGCTGCACAAGGTTGCGGACGCCGTTCCCGCCACTGATGGAAGCCCCTCGAAAGGCAAGTCGGTCTCGTCCGTCGCGTCTTTCTGCGGTCGAAATCGTCCGCCGCGACATTTTTTTCTGTTTCAGACGTGTAAATATTGAACATCTGTCTTAAACAAATGGTTACACAAGGTTTCGGACGCGTTGCCGCCACAGATGCAAGCCCCTTAAAAGGCAAGTCGGTCTTGTCCGTCGCGTCATACTGCAGTTTCTAGACGTCTAAATCCTGAACGCAGTCCATGGTTAGTGGTTGCACAAGGTTGCGGACGCCGTTCCCTCCAGCGATCGAAGCCCTTCACAAGGCGAGCGGGTTTCATGTCGTTCTCGAATCAGGCTATGGCTGTTTCTTGTTCGTTTCCCTTTTTCTTTAATATTTTTTTCCAAGATACGTGTAATGCTAGCTTGCTGTTTTCGAATACACAGTCGTGTTCGGTACTCGCGACGCCACGTGTCATCCCCTTGGAAGTGTTTGCGCGTTCTTCCGTACCCATCCGTCGCTTTCCGTCGCGTCACGCGAAATTTGTTTTTGGGGGGGGGGTCTTTTGGACAGTGGGAGTCAGTACTATGAATTTCGGGACGGTCCATCCTCATCCACAAATCCACGATAATAGAAGAATTCAAGAATGTATCAGAGTCGAATCAGATGCAAAGTTTGCCTCTATCCATGTGCGCAGGTCCGACGTATAGCAGAATTTAAGATTGTATGAGAATAAATTCAGATGTTATTTTCGCTTCCGTCCACATCCACAGGTTCCGCGTATAGTAGCATGTAATTTAGCGTATTAGCGTCGACTCAGATGTCATTCTCGCCGACTTCCACGTGCGCAGTTGCCACGTGTCAGCATCTACGCCAAGGATGCGTACGCCAACCATTTGACTCGACTAAACAGTCACCTCCTCCATTCATTCGCCCCCTTCCCCACCCGCAGGTCCCACGTATCGCAGCATCTACGCCAAGGATCCTGTTGAGTCGACCCAAAGGCCGCTCAAAAAACATTTTCCTTAGTTCGCTCATCTGTTTCTCTTGTCCGCAGGTCCAACGTATCGCAGCATCTACGCCAAGGATGCGTACACCAACCTGTTGAGTCGACTCAATAGTCATCTCCTTATGGCATTCATCTCGCCCCTTTCCCCACCCGCAGGTCCCACGTATCGCAGCATCTACGCCAAGGATGGGTACGCCAACCCGTTGAGTCGGCTCAAAGGGTTATTTCCGTATCTCATTGATCCGTTTCTCTCGCCTCACGCACACCCGCAGGTCCCACGTATCGCAGCATCTACGCCAAGGATGGGTACTTCAAATTGTAGAGTCGACTCAGAACCATCCTGTGGGCGCAATGGTAATCTCCTTATTTCGCTCATCCGTTCCTCGTGCCCGCAGGTCCCACGTACCGCAGCATCTACGCCAAGGATGCGTACGCCGACCTGGGGCCCGGGGTTGACACCATTGGGTACCTCGACCTGACCCCAGTCATCGACACCATGTGGAGCCTCTTCACGTGCGTCCTTCTCTTCTCCCTACCGCATGACTCGCTCGCTCGCTCGCTCGCTTATCCGCGCTTCCTTTATTCCTCGTCGTGCAATCCCACGTCCCTCTTGTGTCGACACTTCCTTGTTTTATCATTGTAGACGTCTTAAACTCGATATCGGTTCATCTATTATGTGTCACTTTCTGCTTCACTCCTCACCGTGTATAAAAATGTCCAGGCGTGGGATTGTACCGCCTCTTCATGTGGTCTTTGATTGGCTTGAAATTGTGCTTTTCCTGCACGGGATCGTGAATAATTCGAGGCTGTTATGTTCTGTACGTGCATCCAATGATCTATCGCCACGTGGCTGAATTTCAGGGCCTCTGTGTATCGATTCGGCGACAACAAGTTTCTGGGGAAGCGCTCGATCGTAGATGGCAAGGTATTAACCGAAACTCAGGTCCTGAACCTCGTAACGGATTGTCTTGTAACGAATGGTAGTGTTCGGATGCAATCTTCCTGAGGAATCACTCGATCGTAGATGGCAAGGTATCACCCGAAACTCAGGTCCTGAACCTTGTACTGTAATGGACTGCTTGCCTTGTGACAACGTCACAACCGTAGTGCTAAGGACCGCTATGTCATGCGTTGTGTTTTGAGTCGACTCAAAACACGACTTGAAACTCAGGTCCTGAACCTTGTACTGTACTGGACTGCTTGCCTTGTGACAACGTCACAACGGTAGGTAGTGCAAAGGACTGCTATGTCATGCCCTGCCTGCCCACTCCCTCCTCTCCCCCCTCCCTCACCCTCACCAGTTGTTTTCTCTTCTCGTTTCCTTGCTAGCAACTCATCCGTCTTTCCTGTCCTCTTTTCCCTGCCTCTTTGCCCTTTGTGTGTAACACCTATTCCCAGGTGCATGACAAGGTGCTGCAACTGGGATCAGCGTACCGTGCTGCCCTCATCCCTCCTTCTCTCCTCCACTCCTCCACGCTTTCCCCCATCTCTCCTCCCTCTTTTCTCCTCCCCCCAGCCGGGCCCGTTTGTGTGGGACACGTACTCCCAGGTGCATGACAAGGTGCTGCATCTGGGATCAGCTTACCGTGCTGCTGGGTTGGAAGCGGTGAGTAGGGGGAGGAAAGAAGGGAGCGGAAGGAGGGAAAGTGGGGGGAGAGA